GCGCTCCAATTGAATGCTGCGCAGGCGCCTCCCCCCTTCCCCCAACTATAAATACCCCCTTCCCCTTTCACTTTCAACTCACCCCACAAACATTTCACTTCTTTCTCCCTCAATTTATCCGCTCTAGTCTCGTTCTAAGTATGCTCTGTGGTTGCGGCTAAGTCCGATCTTCCACATCAGAAAGAATTACTAGAGTTTGACCCTAAAGCCCCCGTCCCGCTAAGTTCCCGTCCCTTACACCTAAACTCGTCGAACCTCTGTCCGGCCTACGCCAAAAAATGGACGAAGAGGCTCTTCGTGTAGGTTTTTTGTTTATGAATTTTTTTTAATCGAAACAATCTGATTTTTTGTTTTTTTTATCAAAACAATCTTTGATTTCATTACTTTTTTTATAGATGGGTGCCGAGATATACGATCCTCGATTGTATATCCATTATGGCCCAAGGGATGCGAGTCTCTTAACCGATCAAGAAGCTCATCGCTCCCGTGCTATTTGGGATAACAATCCGGTAATTTTTTGAGTATTCTTGCTTTATTTTATTATTTTCTAAGGTTTTATTTTGCTTTATTTAATCTAATAAATCGTTGTTTTCCCTATTTTTTTTAGGAATCGCTTGTTCCCGTGGTTCATAAAGGGACCAATAACTTGCCCGCTTGGCATCCAAGGTTGGAGCCCTATATAGCGAGGACAGGTTTGGGAATGTTGCGCCATTTCTTGCGGATCGAAATCGACAACGATCTGCTTACGGCAATGGCGGAACGATGGCGTCCCGAAACCCATACGTTCCACCTTCCGGAGGGGGAAATGACGATCACCCTCAAAGACGTGGCGATCCTCACCGGGATGCCTATTTCTGGGGATGCCGTCATTGGTCCCCAGACCAAACCCGAAGTAAGTTGGAGGCCGCTCATACGTGATCGTTTGGGCTTTGACATGCCGACCACCACTCCAATCCAAGGACGGGGGCATCCACCGTTGAATGCGGGCCAAGTGTCGGTCCCGTGGCTGGTGTCTCACATCCAGCAAGAGGTTGTAATCAATGACGAGACACCGGAAGAACAAGTCGAGCGCTACGCCCGCATCTACCTCATCGGTTTGGTGGGTGGATTTTTGTTCCCCGACAAGTCCAACCGGTGGATTCAAGGCATATGGTTGGAGTTGCTCACAGGTGATTGGGATGCAATCGGGCAAAAGAGTTGGGGATCGGCCGTGCTAGCGGGCGTATACCGGGAGCTGTGTACTTGCTCAAAGGTTGGGGCAAAGCAAGCTGGTGCTGCGATGTTCATCCTACAACTGTGGGTATGGGAGCATCTTCCAATGTTCGCACCTCTCGACCCACGTCCATACCGGAGAAACGATGATGAGCTCAACTTTCTGCAAAATCTCCCATATGGTGTCAAGTAAGTTTATTTCGTACTTAGCTCAATTTAAATTTTATTACATGCTTGAGCTAGAAATAAATTGAATTTATTCCGTACTTAGACCAATTTAATTTATTATATGCTTAGCTATATTTCAATTAAATTGATTCCGTACTTTTACTCCCCTTCCACTAATGCAAATGCAAGCGGGAAAATCCGCCTGTTTCCATCAACGCCAGTGGCAATTAGAATTTGTACTTCCCAGTAAGGAAAGTTCCGTCAACCTGAATAAAAATTTAGGATATAATTAGTATGAAATATACTAAACAACAAATAATACAACATTTAAAACCGGGACTAGTTGGTAAAATACCTGAATAACCGGTATGCAGAACCCAAAACCGTCAATACATGGTTTAAAAGCCCAAAAAAGACGATGGAACATCAGCTTATCTTGTACTCGAACTTGATCCTCAGTGTATACATTGTTGTATACTGGGACGAAAACAGCCCCAGGATTGGACTCCTCCATTGCTCCCATAAGTCTAGGGAGTAAAGCATACGAATCCTCCCAATCACCATACACCTCAGCCATGGCTTTCTGCTTACCATGCCATGCTTTTTTGTACCTTATCGTGTAAGAATGTCGATCCTTCACCTCTGCCATGATAGCTTTCACCTTGATATCTGGTTGTGCTTCTATAAGGTGCTTAATAGTTCTCCCAACCTTCTTTGCTTTTAGTTGCCTGTGATCTTGGGAAAGTATAGAAGAGGAGCATGTGTGGATCGTCTCAGCTTTGCGAATCACCCAAGCACCCTTTCTCTTCATATTTGCAGCCCGCAGTTGCCACGTACAACCATCTGCATCATGCTTGCATATGACATGTAGTTGTTTACTGTCAGAATATTTTACCTTCCACTCGAAATTGCGCCTCAACGCCTCTTCTGTAAAAGCATCCTGCACAGCGTCTTTCGATGGGAACGCCATACCCACCTCCAAATTGGCCGTCGGATTGTACACTGGCATAGGGACAAATTCGGGGGGATCATTCTGACTATGTAAAAATTGAGTTGGAACCTGTGTGTAATATGGCGTGGGTGCCTCACGAAATGCCGCCTCATCCTCGTTATCATCGGTATCTTCCTCCTCCTCGCTCACTGATCTCAAATCTTCCTCAGTATCCTCGTCGCTCGACTCGAATGGATAGCTCGGGCTAGAAGGATCAACATGACCACGATCACCAACATCGTCCTCTCGCTCATGTGAAGTACGCCCTGATCGAATGGTATTCTCGATTCCATACCACTCTGGCCCCCAAGTAGGCCATTGAACACCATCGGCCTCAACAAATGGGGCTGGTTTAGGAGGTTGCGAGTATTTGTCCCATCCTGCACTACTCGATCCACCGTAGTTGATTGAACCACCACCCTCCCCGTAACCTCCTGTATAACCACCGCCTTGTTAGTTGCTCGAACTACCACCCCATTCGTACCCTCCTGCAAAACCATCATCATAAGAATACTGGTGAGAATGAGATTCACCGACCGCCTCGGTCTCAACATACACCTCTGCAAGCCGGACTTGGTTATCGCTTAGGAACTGTAACATCATCGTAACCGTGTCATCATCGTTTATGACAACTTCTTGGAACACGACCCCGCCAGCACTCATGTCTGGATACCGGTAAGTAATTTTGCCAAGTCTCGTCTGTCCGCTCGTACAAACCCTTTCTGCACAAAGATCACAGAGTTCTTGAAAATTGAACCGAGAATCAATTTTCAGCATAATGGATTCGCCGTCCTCATAATCAATGCCTATGTCAGAGTTTGTCACCCTTCCATTCCACCGAATAGTAAGATGAAACTTCTTGAATTTACCCATATCTACAAATCGAGAATAAGTATCTATTAGCTTAAAGACAGTAAAATTAACCAAAATCATATTGTACAACTAATAGTATCCATCTCATAACTAACGAACATAAATTCAACTAACTAACAACAACATAATACGAAAATTTAATCATACTATAACTACTAAAAACATAATTAGACTATAATACGAAAAGTCTCAACATACCGAAAAATGTCTGTTCTGTGTATTATGCTCGATTTTTGTTGCTGAAATTTGAAGAAGGGGGGAGTGGTTATGTTTTTACTTCTGCTGGAGGGTTGGTATTTTAGGAAAATCTGCCTATTATTCACCGTTTTTGTCAAAAACGGTGAACACCATCACCGCGTTTGTCTCAAACGGTGAATAATAGGTAGGTGTGACCTAATTTTGACCTAACAGGGGTGGGAAACGTGGGAATACATCACCGCGTTAACAAAAAACGGTGAATGTATTCACCGTTGTCAACTAAAACGGTGATGTATTCACCGTCCTCTCCAAACGCGGTGAATACATCACTGTTTTAGATAAAAGCGGTGAATACGTCACCATTTTTGTTTTAAACGGTGAAATATTCACCGTCTTTGACAAACGCGGTGATTACCTTCACTGCGTTTGTCAAACACGGTGAATGCCAAACATGTGTACTTTGGGAATTTTTTTTATAACTTATGTATTTTGGAAATTTTTTTTAAGAACGTGTGTACCGTGAGATTTTTTCTATATATTTGGTGGAGTGGGGTTTAAAAACCATCCTAACACAACAACCACGATCAAACAGGATTACATTCTGAATAACCTATCTCAACCCAAGTGTCCCTTCAACGCGAGACATTCTGTGACTCAGCTGCGAAATTGTTTCCAACAGACTTGTTTCAGTTGAATCACTCGTTCTAGTAATGTTGGACGAACAAGGCTGGTCAGCAACTTCACAACGCCGTAACTGCAACCGAAGTTGCTTGTTCTCTTCTTCTAAATCGGCAAGTTTCATACGCAAATTGGCAACTTCCCTAACAAGGTTTCGTTCACGGACTTCCAAAGCATGCACATCAAACCATTTGAAATAGCCACATTCTTTCTTCCCCTGCAAACCAATTAATCAAGTTACAATGGAAGCAATTCAACATCTTGCTCACAATTGATTCAACCACCACCACTAGCCTACCATTTACTCGATCCCAGGACCCCATTTGAAATAGCAACCCTAAATTGAACTAACCAAAACGTGATTCTGTTGGATTGAGAGGGATTAAGACATTACCTTTATTTTCTTCAGTGGACAAGAGTAAAATTCTCTATTTGGGTTCCTGGGGGAGTGAGATAACTCCAACACAGCTTCCAAAGGACAGTCACACAGTGGTGGATGCATGTTGGCTTTGGAGATGGCGGTTGAAGAACGGCGCCCTACCGACGATGATGCTGTGATCGACGAACGGCGGCAGCTGCTGTCCTCCAGAGCGCAGCGAAGGAAAGGATCGACAATGGTGGAAGAAACCCTAGCAGTGGTCGAGGTCTCGAGGAAAAAAAATAGCAGCAGTGAACGGCCAAATTTGGGCCCTTGTACACATAAATAGGGAAGGTTAATTATGTAATCTTGCATTCTCATTTTATAAATGCCACATATGTTTCCAAACGTGTGATTTGCCTAAAATTCCACATAAATTCCACAAATTAAAAACCTAGGTTTTCAAACCAGTAATTTGAACCAAAATCCCACAAATTAAAAACCTGCATCCAAATGACCCCAAAAATTAAAAACCATTTGTCGAGGGATTTTCCGACTAACAGTCGAGAAAAAGAAAAGCGAGGGTGAGAAGGGAGGGAGAGGGAAGGGGGAAGCAAGGGAATAGAATTGCCGCCGCCGCCGACGAGACCATAAAGTCACTGTTATTCTCTTCTTTGATTCCGCTCCCCCTCCGAGGAAGACAGCACAGAATCGATTTAGCGGATAAGAGAAGAAAAAGACGAGAAGGAAGTTACACTGTTTCAGTTTCAGTTTCAGTAAGGAGAAAGGAATAGCGCGAAACATAAACCCTAATTATCTTTGGCACAACTAGTTTAAGATCTCCACCTCTTCCTTATTCGTTCTCTCGTTCCTCTCCTGGTTCGCACTTCGCAGCATTAGAGCTCCAACAATGGTCAGTTGTTACCTCTTCTTTCAGCTCCTCATTCATTTTATTTTGATTAGCCCCCGACTCTTCCACTCTTATTCTTACTTGATTAACTCGCATGTGCATTTCCTTCCCCCTTGTTTGGTTTGTCATTAGCCTAGAACTGTTTGATCTTTGAGGTTCATGTACCGAAAGAATTTAGTTGCTAAATCGCCATCTCGTCTCCATGCCAACCAAGAGTTGAAAGCCTTATCGTGTCCCCTGGATGCGACCACCTTGCCCATCGTGAACGAATGGAAGGAAGGATCCCCATTGTTTGTATTTTCAGCTTCGAGAAATATGACATTAAACTTTCCCCTTGGTTCTGTAGTTTGGTTTAGTTGGCTCTGTTTGAGTACTACATTGACAGTCTTGTCTTTGTTTTGCAGAACAAGTTTGGTAGAGGCCACCGCGACAAGGTCCAGCAGTTCATGGCCATAACTGGGGCAAGGCAAGTTCAGAATTTCTTTATTTATATAAGGCTAGTTTCTGTTCTACAGAACTAATGCTAATAGTATTCGGTATCCATAAGTATAAAAAAGTGAAATGGAAAGCCACTATGTTTCGTTGTAATAGATCAAAGAGGTTGATTTGCGGGTTGCTGCTCTTTTCTATTTCCTGCCTGGTAAGGGGTGATGATGAGTTGACCATGGAGACAATGCATGTTCATATTTGTCCACCGTGTTTCATTGATTGACAATAGATGTCCTTATGTTTCTTGATTTTGTGGAAGCATTATGGTACTTCTCTTGTGGCTAGTACTTTGATTTAGAATTGAATAATCCATTTCTGGAATGCAGTGAGAAAGCCGCAGTTCAGGCATTGAAGGCAAGCGATTGGCATCTTGAAGGTGCATTTGATGTGTTCTACAGCCAGCCCCAGAGTAAAACACATACTGACTCCAGACATTTGGAAGAGCTTTACAACAGATATAAAGGTGATTAATGTTTGCCCACAGTGTTTTTTATGCTGTCTATGTAAGATATGCTCAATAGAAGAGTAAATGGTTGCATGCATGCGAGTTTGTTATTAAGCACAGTTGTACTGCATTCCTAGTCTGCTGACAAAAACTTGAGATAGCACTTTCTTTTATGCACATGCTTTTCATTCTGTCTTTGCTTTAATTGGTAACATTATTAAAAAAAAAAAAGAATCGTACGTTTATGGTGTTTACTGAGAAATGAGTGTGCTGCTATGCTTTGCAGATCCATATCTGGACATGATAATGGCTGATGGCATTGCTCGTCTTTGCAATGACCTTCAGGTAAACTTGTATTATGCCATTGTCAGTAGTAATGGTTGTGACGATCTTTGAAATGTCAAAATGTTTTCTTGGTCAGTGCTGGCATTATGTGAATGACCATGACTCATGGTTTGGTCGCTGTAGAGTTTCCCTACATTTTTTTATGTGTTTAGATTACTAATGGGTTAGAAATAACACTTGACTTTTCATTTTTCTCAGGTGGATCCCCAAGACATAGTTATGGTAGGTTACAGATTACAACCTATAACTTCGTTTGCTGTTATACTTATATATAAGCTTATAAAATGTGTGTTAAAAGCTACCCTTAAGATTGCCTTTTTGGTTCTGTTGTAATATTTTTTTTGTTTCTTGTGCAGTTAGTTGTTTCATGGCACATGAAGGCTGCCACCATGTGTGAATTTTCGAAGCAAGAGTTTGTCGGTGGACTACAATCGCTAGGGTTGGTTCAGCATGTTTGTTTGTTTTATCGATTGCTTCAGGTCGTGCTATGTCATGTCTAATTCTAGCTGTATCTTCTGATGACAGGATAGATTCACTGGAGAAGTTCCAAGAGAGGATACCATTCATGCGTTCTGAGCTGAAAGACGAACGTATGCACAACTGCATATTTTCTTGAGCTTGTGCAGCATATCCACCTTTGCGTACTTTCGTTCCTAACACAAAATATCTTCTGATTTTGCAGAGAAGTTCCGTGAGATATACACTTTTTCTTTTGGGTGGGCAAAAGAGAAGGTACACACTGCTATGCATAAAGACTGTACTTGTGTTCGTAACTCTTAGTCTTTAGTGTGCTGTTTATCTGACCAACTGAATCACTAAAATAAAAAACTGACTTGCCTAAATCTTTTAAAATGGCTCTAAGCGTGTAATCTATAAGGCAGCAATTGAGGCTCTTCGGAGAAGCAATGTAACTTGTTTGTCCAATGTGTGGGCAGTTCCTGATCCCTAATGTTAGCAGCTGATGTTCATTATATGTGGCAGGGTCAAAAATCTCTAGCACTGGATACCGCAATAGGAATGTGGCAACTACTATTTGCTGAAAAGCACTGGCCATTGGTTGATCACTGGTGCCAGTTCTTACAGGTACTCTTTAGGAAGCATTTAAAGTCAGATTGCTTTCCATGACATAACACCTCTTGTGAGAATGGCTCCTGAATATGCTGAATCAATCTGGTTGAACTAATAGTCAATATGGGGTAATAAGCAATCTTATCTGCAGTATGCACTTAAGGGTAGGTAAACTAGCACCAGTTGTTTTCCCCAGTAAGTGGTTTCTATGGTGTAATGTGGATTTTTCCTTTTCGCCCTTATAAACAGAAGTGCGGTTTTCACTGTCTTATCATATCCATCACTGAAGGTGAAGTATGGCTGGTGATGTGCTTTGCTCTCTGATGTCAGGACTGACTTGGTCTTCCTTTTTCCCAGGCTCGGCATAATAAAGCTATCTCGAGGGACACTTGGTCTCAGCTATTGGAATTCACACGGGTAAGTATTGAGAAGAGAATGGATTTGGGCCGTGTTCCCTTTCTCCCTTCCATTTCTGTGGTATCTCTTTTACTTGCTGTACTTGATGATGCGGAGGAATAACAGGTCCATTTTGGGCTTCATAATATAAAGTTAGTGAAATGAAAGATAAGCTGGGAGGGCAATCTGTGTAATGAAAATGTTGTTGGTTTGGTGCAGACAGTTGATTCTGGATTAGCAAACTATGATGCCGAAGGGGCATGGCCATATCTGATTGATGAGTTTGTGGATTACCTGAATGAGAATGGTGTGGGTGCTGATGGGTTCAGTCGAACAATTGGAGCTTAGAACGATGAAGAAAAGAAGAGGACCCAGATGTGTAGCAGAAGCTGGGAAGTATGGTGTACTTGGTTCTCAATCATACAGTTATGCAGACTGCAGCGTGTAGGATTGCGTTTCCTCTTACTTTCTCTACCTTTCTTTTCTCCACTAGTTTCATAACGAAAAAAGGGAGAAATAATGGTGAAGAAATGATACGATGATGGATGATACTATTGACATGGTGTTGAATGATGGTGGTAACAATGATTCCTTCTCTCTTACGCATGGAAACGGCGTATATGATTTGTCTAGAGTCCGATTGAATGGAAATAGAACTGGAACCAGTTTCTACTTAATGCCATTGCCATCCAAGACATGTCATCAGAGTTCATCGTCCCATTCGTAACCATATCCACCACACCTTCTTACTCCACATCCAGCTCCCAAAATCTTGCTCTTTGGGGTGGGAATCGAGCTTTTCCATATCACAATTGGCTGCCACAATAAACAATTCACCCATGGGCTTCATGCCTGCTTCTTGTCGGACCAATCAAACTCGAAAACCCCATAAAATGTGTCATGAACAAGCAAAACCGTGCGAGAACGGATTCCAAAAACATCAAAACGTGAACATTTTGATTTTTAAAAATTAAAATTGGAATATGATAAATTTCTGATAAAGTTTGGTGATATACTGATATTTCACTATATGACCGCTAGTTTTAATTTCCCTCGGACCTCGGTCATTCGGCAAGTTATTTTTACTGTTATAAATCATTTGAAATCATAAGTAATCTGTAATAACATATTGATTTTATCCATGAATTAAAAAGAACACAAATCAGAGAGAAGATATTAGACACATTAGAACACATGATAGTCCCAATCTTGTTATAATAATTAACATAATTAATGGAATTATCTTATAAGTTTTGAAATTAATATCATCAAATAAAATTTATCTTGCGGATTATACTTTGTATTATAATAATAAGGGCTAATACCACTACAACACTCGAACTATAATAAAAATGCACTTGTGTCCTAGTTTATTTAATATTTCAATCCTATCCCATCGTATGATACGTTTGTGGCATTTGTATCCTGACGCTTTCGTTGTCTGTTAAAGATAACAATTGACCAGACCGTGGTCGAAAAAAGTTCTAGAGAAGTGAGGACAAGGGAGCAGTTGAGATGGTACGAATCCCTCGGTCCGAACCCTCACGGGAAAGGAAGCAATCTCAAGTGATGTTAACTTTCGTCGACGTGACAAAAACACGGCGACCACGCATATGTCAATTTTTGACACCTAAGATTATTTTAAATTATTTTTATTTTAAAAAATTAAAAATAATTATATGTGTCAAGAACATGAAACCCTATACTAAGAGACTCACCTTTATTGCCCTATGATCAAATTCAGAGACAATACATTAACAAACCTTTGAACATTTTTAATTATAGTGATCACAATATCATATGAGGCATATGTGGAATTATCATGTACTATTTCGATCGAATATACGTAACCTCAATCCTCAAATTCAACCCTAAACATGTAATCTTTAACTAAGACAAAAAGTTTAACAAACCCGTTCTATTTTGTATGAAAACCATTTGTCAAGGACTAAAACGATAAAATCTAAATCACTATACCGGCGAACAGTCCAGAATAAGAAGAAGGCGAGGGTGAAAGGGGAGGGAGAGGAAAGAGGTGGAAGGATGGAATAGAATTGCCGCCGCCGACGACGAGCCCATAAAATCGCTGGTATTCTCTTCTCTGATTACTCCCCCTCCGAAGAAGACAAATAGATTTAGCGGATAAAAGAAGAGAAAGAAGAAAGACGAGGCGGAAGTTCCACTGTTTCAGTTTCCGCCCAGGGATAGGAAAAAGGAAGAGCGCGATACATGAACCTATTTATGTCAACTAGTTAAATATCTCTACCTTTCCTTCTTCCCCTCCTTTGCTCGTTGTATTGGACTTCAGCTGTTGTGTGAAGGTGAAAGTCTCTGGTCTTTCGCTCTTCAGCAGTGTATATGGAGGTTTGTGATACTATCTCCTTGCTTTCTTATATGCTCCAATTGTATCCCTCTCATCTGCTAAGATGCCCATTTGCTTGATCAATTCTTGCACTTTTAGAAACAAGAGAACCAAGGTGAAATAGTGAACATTGACGAGACAATGGTGACACTGAAACCAGAGCAAAGCGGTGAAGGAGGATTGTTTGTTCCTGGCAAGGAGAGGGTAAAGTTTACAGCTCCTGAGAGGAAATCTCTTTTAGGTAAACATCCGTTCTTTCTTGATCTGACTCTTGCGATTACCCAACTCTTGGAATCTGCTTCTGTAATTTGTCAAGTTCTAGTTTCTTGTTGGGCTAATATGCAGAATTTTCCCAGGACTGGATGTCCTTGCAATTGCAAAACGAGGCCGATCTGATGTGGATGGAGGTTTTAAGGTCCCTGCACACAGAATAACTTCCACAGTGGCCTCAGCTGACGAGGATGAAGAGAACGACACTTCTGAAATAGATGAGGCAGGAGCAGTGAGTGCAAATAATAACGCTGCGCTGAAGCATGTGAGTCGCCGAAGATATCGCGAAACATCTGCTAGTGCTAGTGAGACATCTCATGCAGGTGCGTACTTTTCTGTTCAAATCTAGAGCCCAGATATTTATTTAATCTGTCAGATTTGCGAGAAAACTTAATTTTGTCTGAATGCTGGAGTAAGACACCAACTGATAGAATTTAACTATAGTAGCTGGTATTCTCTTAGATGAATTATCTATTGATGAACTGTTTTTTTCAGTTGAAGACCCAGTTTTAGTTACATAATCCTCTTGAATGGAACTTTCTGAACAAGGTTCTCAGTTCACTATCTTTGCAAAGGGTGTGATGCGTGGATAGTATGGAGTGCTTTACCTAGAAGTTTCAATAGGGATGCGTTGATGTCGATTTTCTATACCTTTGAGTTATTCTTAAATAGAATTTCATTTGGATTTTTACTAAGTACATATTTTGAATGCTCCATGTGATGCATAACAATATCTTTTCTGTTTCTCTGTTCTTGTGTCCATATACATTCTTCAAATAAAATCTTTGCATACTTCATGTGAAATCTGGTAATTTACAGAAAGTACTGTGACTCGAGAAAGATCAGTTAGTGACGTGTCTCGGAATCATCGCTCCAGGGGGGGTTCATCTTCATATGTAAGTTGATATTCTATTTTTTTGGTACAAAATATTATAAAATATTTACATCGGACTGGAATCAAATTCTACTTGTTCTCTCCTCCCTTTACTTTCTCGTTCCTTTCCTCTCTAGTTGTGCTTTATATGTGGTTAATAACATCAAATCATCATTTCATCAAAAATTAACATTACATCATCTGGAATTATAGGAACCTAGTACCTCCCCTCGAACTTCTCAACGGGATCCCTCCAGGAGTCCATGGCGTCATGGAGATGATTACGTCACTGAACGAAGAGGCAGAAAAGGTGATGATAGGATTGATAATCGAAGGGACAGACACAGATACGGCAGTGATCGTGAAGACCGAAGTCATGGAATAGAATCACGCCATCGGTATGAAGACGATTATGATGGAAGCTATGGAAGGAAACGCTCACGAACACCAGGTTTGTTTCGACTTCCTATTTGATGAATTTTCATTTTTCTTATCACAATTGCAACCAGGAAATGTTTGGCTTTTTACACATTTCATGTGGTTAGAACAATTGTTTACCTGACCCTATTAGCTGAAGTAAGCATGTGGACCAATGTGTCAATCTAACTTTCCCCTTGATTAATTTTCAGGGAGATATGATTGGGATGATGGAAGATGGGAATGGGAAGAAACTCCTGTGCGTGATGATACCTCTAACTCAGGCCAGCGGCGTCAGCCTTCAAGGTCCCCAATGTTTGTTGGGGCATCACCTGACGCACGATTAGTTTCACCATGGTTGGGTGACTATACTCCTTCGGCTGGTATGTTGGGAGTTAAGATCAGGTGATCATTTGCTTGTGTATCATGTAATTCTAGGTGTTAGTTGACATTTTGTCTGTGCTACACTCAGGCTCCGGTGCTTCCCCTTGGGATCGGGTTTCTCCTTCTCCTATACCAATACGAGCTTCTGGGTCGTCAGATAGGTCTTCTGTTTCTAGACGTGGTGGGAGATCTCATCAGCATACTTTCTCTGTTTCAAGCTCTCAACCATTAGAGGTAATTATGTTCACCAAGATATTGCTGACATTAGTGTTCATATATAAATAGTTACAGATAACATGCGAAAGGTAAGTGAAACCCCTAAAACCGTAGTATCTTGAAGGTAAGAACAGGTGTAGAACATGTGCAGGCTGCTTTAGTTAATATTTTTTTTTGCTTTGTTTTAGGGATATACTTCCTGGATTAACTGTGGCAAAATGAGGGTTTTATAATCGAGCAGCACTCTTACTCATTAGAATAATTTCCTTTAGGAAGAATTATTATCTAAACTTTCTGCACACGTGCGGTTCATGTTCTCTTATGATCAATTTGTTCTATTTGATTTCAGTGTGGGATAGTCTTTAATAGTTTATCACTCCAGGAAGAGTCGTATTCTGCATTTTAAATCAGCTAAGCTAATATTTTGTCTGTTCATATCTCCAGGAAGGAGAACAGCCATTCGTGTCTGAAGAACATAACCCTGAGATTACTGAGGATATGCGTTTGGAAATGGAATATAATTCTGACCGAGCATGGTAAAATCTTCTTCTCTACCTGCAACTTGTACAAGTATGCAAATGCTGCTAACCTGCAACTGGACTGTCTTTAATGTGCTGCTAATTTACATCAGCATTCTTTTGACTGACTTAGGCTTGGTGGGTTCTTGTAAAGAAGTTGGTTGGACTTTCAGCCAGTAACTCTGTATTAATTGGTGTCGGTATTGCTCAGGTACGATAGAGAAGAAGGTAACACATTGTTTGATTCTAATAGCTCATCATTTTTCTTTGGAGACGAAGTTTCGATCCAGAAAAAAGAGGCAGAGTTGGCTAAAAAGCTGGTATGTTTAAGATAAATTGTGATTTTTAAAGCATGAGAACTAATTATCTCTTTCGATAGGGTGGCTCCCTGCACCCTTTTCTCCATCTCCATTGTGTTTGAGTAGTTTTCTGTTCTCAGTATGAGATTTTTTACACATTGGAGGAGATGTCATGTGTTTCTCTTTATGTAGGTTCGTAGAGATGGCTCCAAGATGACACTATCTCAAAGTAAGAAGTTATCTCAACTTACTGCTGATAATGCCCAGTGGGAAGACCGGCAACTGTTGAGATCTGGTGCTGTTAGGGGAACTGAGGTGCAGACTGAATTTGATGATGAGGATGAACGCAAGGTTATTCTCCTTGTGCATGGTAAGAATTTGGTTGGCCATATGGAAGCAGAAGAACTGCAAGCTTTTGTATTTCTATTTATTAAGCTGATCATAACTTCTACTGCCACCTTCATTAGATACAAAACCCCCTTTTTTGGATGGAAGAGTCGTTTTCACTAAACAAGCGGAACCCGTAATGCCTCTAAAAGATCCCACATCAGACATGGCCATCATTTCACGCAAAGGATCTGCTCTAGTCAGGGAGATTCGTGATAAGCAGAGTCAGAACAAGTCTCGACAACGGTTTTGGGAACTTGCTGGCTCAAAACTTGGTGATATTCTTGGGGTTGAGAAAACAGCGGAGCAGGTTAGTGCTTGTATGCCAAATTTTTTTATTTCTCCTATTGCCTCCAGATGGTTCATGTGCTTAACCATTTACTATATTTCAGATTGATGCTGATACTGCTGAAGTGAATGAAGAAGGTGAAGTAAATTTCAAGGAAGATGCAAAATTTGCACAACACATGAAGAAGGGCGGTGAAGCTGTGAGTGATTTTGCAAAGTCAAAAAGTCTTGCAGAGCAGCGGCAATACCTTCCTATATTCTCTGTGCGGGATGAGCTGTTGCAGGTTTGTTTTTCCCTCTGTTTATGTATGTTAGTTTGTCTTGTTGTGTAGATGGTAAGTGTTTCATTTGCCACCTCAGTACTTTAGAAATGTCATCATATTTGGCCTGATGATGGGTTGCCAGGACTCTAGAATGCAGTTCCTTGTCATTTGGGAACCAAAAGTTGTGATGAATTGTTACTCATACCATATTGTTAATGCAATGTGCTTACTATGGTCAAATTCCCTGTTCTGTAGGTGATACGTGAAAACCAGATAGTAGTTGTAGTTGGAGAAACTGGGTCGGGCAAGACTACTCAACTGACACAGGTTTTTACTCATCCCTTGTTTTGTTCATGTCATAAATTGTTGTTATATGCAATACATCTCCTTCTCCAATCCCCATTGGTGTACTAATGCCTTTTATTTGCAGTATCTGCATGAAGATGGTTATACAGCAAATGGAATTGTGGGTTGCACCCAGCCCCGTCGTGTGGCAGCCATGAGTGTTGCCAAGAGAGTTAGTGAAGAGATGGAGACTGAATTGGGGGATAAAGTTGGTTATGCAATTCGGTTTGAGGACGTGACTGGAAAAAACACCATAATCAAGGTTTGAGAATGCTGGCTGCTGCTGATTTCATATCTAATGTTTCCTATTATGTGTTTGACAAGTTCTATTTTCAAGGGCCAATGGACTAGTATACCTTATACCTAGGATTTTCCTTCAGTGACGACAACCTACAAACCTTTTAAAAATTCATTTCTTGGTTTTGCAGTATATGACTGATGGAGTACTCCTACGTGAAACATTGAAAGATGCTGAATTGGATAAGTACCGGTATGGAAACCATTGAGTTGCAGTCTAGGTTCTTCTCCTGAGCAACTTCTCTGTTATGATTTATTAATTTAACGAAGCTGTGATTGTGACAGGGTCATTGTCATGGATGAAGCACATGAGAGATCATTAAACACAGATGTACTGTTTGGGATATTGAAGAAGGTGGTTGCACAGCGTCGTGATTTCAAGCTCATAGTGACATCTGCAACTTTAAATGCTCAGAAGTTCTCGGATTTCTTTGGGAGGTAAGATGAGATGTTTTCAGTGTGCTTATGCACATCATATAACATTACAGTCTGTTGATTTAATAGAGCAATTGATCCAATCTTCAAATCTTTTCCAGTGTACCAATATTCCACATCCCTGGGCGAACTTTCCCTGTGAAGACCTTATATAGCAAGAGTCCTTGTGAAGACTATGTAGCAGCGGCTGTTAAGCAAGCCATGGCTATCCACGTCCAGAGTCCTGCGGGTGACATCCTCATATTTATGACTGGGCAAGACGAAATTGAGGCAGCGTGCTATTCCCTTGCAGAGCGCATGGAGCAGATGGCTGCGTCCACCAAGGATGTTCCCAAGCTTTTGATCCTTCCAATATATTCTCAGCTTCCTGCTGATTTGCAAGCAAAGATATTTCAGAAAGCTGAAGATGGAGCTCGGAAATGCATTGTGGCGACCAACATTGCTGAGACTTCATTGACTGTGGATGGAATCTTCTATGTTATCGACACGGGATATGGTAAAATGAAGGTTTACAACCCAAGGATGGGTATGGATGCTCTGCAAGTTTTCCCTGTCAGCCAAGCGGCTGCCAATCAGCGTGCAGGACGTGCTGGTAGAACAGGCCCTGGCACGTGCTACAGGCTGTACACTGAGAATGCATACCTGAACGAGTTGTTGCCAAGTCCAGTGCCGGAGATTCAGAGGACCAATCTCGGTAACGTAGTTCTTCTGCTGAAGTCTCTCAAAATAGAGAACTTGCTGGATTTCGATTTCATGGACCCACCTCCACAAGATAATATTTTGAACTCTATGTACCAACTGTGGGTGTTGGGCGCGCTGAGCAACGTTGGAGGTTTGACTGATCTCGGATGGAAAATGGTCGAGTTCCCCCTGGATCCTCCACTAGCTAAGATGCTTTTGATGGGAGAGCAATTGGGATGCTTAAATGAGGTTTTGACTATCGTATCGATGCTCTCGGTCCCCTCTGTGTTCTTTCGGCCCAAGGACAGGGCCGAGGAGAGTGATGCTGCACGGGAGAAATTCTTTGTTCCAGAATCTGACCATTTGACTCTGCTCAATGTCTTTCTGCAATGGAAGGAGCACCAGTATCGGGGAGATTGGTGTAACGACCATTACCTGCATGTCAAAGGATTGCGCAAAGCCAGAGAAGTCCGGTCTCAGCTGCTGGATATTCTGAAGACTCTGAAGATTCCATTGACGACCTGTGGGCATGATTGGGATGTGATCCGGAAGGCGATCTGTTCTGCATACTTTCACAATGCAGCAAGGTTGAAGGGTGTTGGTGAGTATGTAAACTGCAGGTCAGGAATGCCGTGCCACTTGCACCCAACCAGCGCCCTCTATGGCCTGGGGTACACTCCAGATTATGTTGTGTATCACGAGCTGGTGTTGACCACAAAAGAGTACATGCAGTGTGCAACCTCTGTAGAGCCGCAGTGGTTGGCTGAGATGGGTCCCATGTTCTTTTCGGTCAAGGATTCCGATACATCGATGTTGGAGCACAAGAAAAAGCAAAAGGAAGAAAAGACTGCGATGGAGGAGGAGATGGAGAATTTGAGGAAGGCTCAAGCAGAGGACGAGAGACGAAACAAGGAGAAGGAAAGAGAGAAGAGGGCAAAGCAGCAACAACAAATAGCAACGCCAGGGCTGCGTCAGGGATCTTCGACTTACTTGAGACCTAAGAAGTTTGGTTTGTAGATGTGGCTTGTGTGAAATTAACTGAATCTCACAAGGAAGAAATGTTGCAACTCAATTTTATTGTGGAGTAAACCAACTAGAAGTCACTTATTCCCTGTAACTTTGCTACTACACTCACCTTCCAGTAAAGTGTTCCTCTTGCGATGGGTTTGGAGTTTGGACATGACTGTGATGTCCGTGAGAATTCTGATACTTGTCAAGTGTGGGTGGTGAAATTACCTAAGGCTGTTGCACTTGATTCCGTTGCTCCTGCTATTGTAAGGTTGAAGAGGTTGCGGCTCCACATTTGGACGTTGTTGATAACTTAAGGAGAAGATGATTTTGGATCCCGAACAGGAAGTTGTTGTAATTGTTTTCAGGCCACCTATAGAAGCCAGCTGCTCCTTTGTTCAAGAGGCACCCCATGTGTTGAGGAAGGATTCCTTGTCTGAGAAAGTAGTTGAATCTCCAGCAGTTGCCTGAGTCTTAATTCCACTGTTATCAAGGAAGAGATAAAAAAAAAAAAGGTGTTTAAGTCTATGAGTGATGACAAAGGCCTCATGAGTCATGTCCTAATGGGTTTCATGAGGAATTTTTCAAAGATGAATGAGACTTAATTGGTAAGGAGGTAGATGATGTGATCTCGGGGTGTATGTGGATTCAACTATATTTTCCATAGTTTTCATGTCCTGATTGTTATGGTTCAACCATAAAATACCACTATCGGAGACTAAACCGGCAGGTGGTATTTAACGGTTGAACTACTGTTAAACCACGGTTTTATTATAAAATATCATACCGCTGACTTTTCCGGTACGATTTCATGGACCATGGTTTTCACACCTATGATTAGTTTTGCAATAAATGAAGGCTTATGTGGTTACTTTCTTGTGAAGAAAGGGCTTCTTTAATAGACCATTTATCAACCTATATGTTTTGTAGTAGCCATGAAGCCACTTTCTTGCCTGCTGTTACGTGCTACTAGAAAGACCAAGTTCCATTTCATCCTCGATGCAAAGCTATAGAAATCACTCATGTGGGTTTCCCAGATGACATTCTATTGTTCTCAAATGGTTATGTGCGTGCGATGACATGTATTAAGAGGTTAGTGGATCAATTCTACTCTCTACCAGACTTCAGTGTAACCCTAAAAAGAGTCAAATGTTTAGTGGTGTTATTACAAAGAAGGAATCTACAAGTAATATAATGGAGATTCAAGTATCACTTTTTCTCCATTTTGAAATTGCAGCCACGGGAGTGTTTTGCGGAAGGGCAATTATGACAAATCCTCTCATTTTAATTCAACTGAAACTCCGCGTTTTGAACACCAACGCTTGCAACTCGACAATTTCCAATCCTTGAAAACCACCTCCGTCTTCAGTGCTTCCCCGACGTCGTCCCACCTTCCCCTCCCTACACGCCGTTTTCACCAATCCTACTGGCAGTTGTTCACGAAGAAGCTAGGCGTCGGGCAGTTGTTCTAGACACTAGCTGCAGAATAGAGCATCAGAATCGTCCTCTGCCCCTTCGCCGATTCCCCATTATCGACTTCGTTGTCACCTTCCCAGCTACTACCTTTTCTCAACCCTCTATCTGTAATCCCTAACTATTCTCCAGAATCCGATTTCTCGACCAGAAACAGGTTAGAACTACCCTCCATCTTGGCTTTTTTCCCTTCCCCAACACAGTAGCGTCAGTTTGGGAGAGTGTTTTTGGACTGATTTTTGTTTCTGGGCACAAATGGCCATTTTCATTTTCATCATCAATTTCCGCTTATGTGATTTGATTGCTTCCATATGTTCTTACCTCTTTTTGTAATTTTCCCCATTTCTTTCGTTTGATGAGGATTGTTCCTTTCACTGTTAAATAGTTCAACGTATGTTGATTTGTGCAATTGATTCTTGCTTGCTTTCAGTATGATTTTGATTTCACTCTTGAATAGTTTAGTTTGCTGGCAGGGAAACTGAAACTTGCTCTATCAGTAGTCATATAATCATATTCCAATTCACTCAAGTTCTTCAACCGGGAAGTAAACACTCTAGATTCTTCGTGACGTAATTGGAGGTATGTATGTAGCTCTGTAATTTTACATGGTTTTTATTCCCATCAAGTGATGAATTTCCCTTTTTAAGTTTCTTGGTGGATTTTGGAATTGCTTTAATTATCTCTGATATGGCCATTGGCTACTTAATCATTTAAGTTGTTTTTACTTGAAGACCACAATGATTCCACAAAACCCTTATAAGTTATCCCCTAAAATTCACGCATCCCACCTAGCTTGACCTTGCTTCACATTCCTCCTTCCCCTTCCCCTTCCCCTTCCCCTCCGGCAGCTATTGAAGAAGAAACTAGCTGTCCAGCAGAACATCGGAATCGTCATCTTCTATTGATGTAGTTAATTGGTTCCTTGCCTCTGTTATGGACCGCCGATAGCAAAGATCTGCCTTTTTGGGTTGAAAGGAGCATATTTGGAATTTCAGCTCCCTCCACGTCTCTATCACATGAAAATATTAATACAGAAATTAGCAATGAGGCATATAAAGGGGTTCAACTTCTAATTGTAACTTTCGTAATGCACAAAATAATCCTTTGGTTTTTCTTTTATAGCTTGAACCCTTGACTCATATTAAGAATGCTCAATCTGAATCTTTGGACTAGGTCATTTTATGGTTTCTCCAATAGCTAATACAACGAAGCTCTCTTCTATGCATGCAAAATGGTCACAAATTCCATGGGATAATAGTTTGTGCAAAATAAGTAAGGTTAATATTGTATCGAGAAGGGTTTTTACGTCGTCGTGTTACATTTTCAACATGTTACTTCATATTGTTGATCAATCTCTAATGTGCCCTGTATTTTCTTTCGCATCATATAATTTCATATCTATAACGTGTATCGTGATGAATAAAGACGGTAACTATTGAGAAAATGTATTTGATTAAACTACATGAATAGACAATCATTTTCATTTACGATTAAGATGGATTATATGTGTATAATGAAAGAAAACTCTCATGTTTTGTTTGTTGATGTGACTTGAATCGGACTATCAGCTGCTACAACTAGAAGTCATGGGGGTTGATACACGTTTGGGTTGTCAGTTTTGGGCCTGGTCCGTAACCGTTTCCTTTACCATGTTGAATTAGGTTTTAGACCCACATGGAGAAGTATAAATACTTCTCATCTCCTCTATAATATGTAATCTCCTCGATATAGTGAAACTGGCTCTCGCGCCCGTGGACATAGCTAATACACATCGTGTCAGTGAACCACGTAAATCGTGTGTCTATTTTTAATTCTCGCTTTCGTATTCTTGCTTTCTCGACTCCAGCGATTTTCTAATCCGTAATAGCGCAGTTATAACATTGTTCTATTGAAATACAAAATAAATAGACATCACTTTCTTACTAGATATCATTATTCGTTATTTATTTTTATATTTTTTTATCAGTACCGAACAACTTTACATTATGAATGATAACAACACATAATCAAACTCTCCGGCCAAGGGCCGGGCCCAGTGCTAGTAATCGAAGGGTAAGTTTATGAAAACTTTTGTGAGGTTGAGGTGCGTGTGATTTGATAAAGTTTTTGAAAGAAAAAAAGGAAATCAATAGTCGAATGGTAAAAGTAAAACTTAATAGTGAAAATCAAAATAAGGGCTTAATTGCAAGTTTGATCACTCGAATTGTTATAAAATTTCACGTTTGCCACTGAAATTAATTTATTCCATTTATAGTCACTCGAATTAGTTGAACAGTTCAAGTTCGGTCACTCGCCGTTAACCTCCGTTAACTTTGACTGATGTGGCGGTCAACTCTGACAGTTAACCGTTAAATGTGTGATGTGGCTATTAAAAATAATATAATAATAAAAATTAAATTTTTAAAAATTACACATCATTATCACAAAACATTATAATTATAAAAAATGGAAAAAAAGAAATTCCTACCACATAATTATCACAAAAACAAACAACACAAAATAATAATAATTAACATTATCAAATTAAAAAAGAAAGTCCTAACCTAAGATCATCTTCGTCTCCAACACCACACTGTATGTTAGCCCAAAATTGGAAAAGCCACCTACGGGTTACCTTTTCCCTTCTTCTTCCCCACATCAAACACCACCGCTACACCGCTTCCTTATCTGACAATTGCTTCCAGTTCGGCGGCGCATCAGCAGTTGCCAATTCCCATCATCGTTCAACACCAACAAATTCATATTCGCCTGCCGTAATTTTAGATATGGTCCACAGGGAGGCTGGACTGGTTACCCGAATTGGAAATTCCTAATTGGAAAACAGAGACTCAATTTTCCGCATGACGAACCGTTCTATCGTCTTCATCCAAAAATTAGGGGTCATTTCTTCTTTTCTCAGCCGTAATCACCTTCACCTTCACCTCCTCCACCCTCGACCCGACCCCTTCCTCTAACTCCGTCAAATCCCGTATCTCGGCGATGATAACATCCGCGATGAGGCCCGCTGCCTCCGCGGCCACCATCTTCTTTTTCAAATACGTCGCGTTCAACGCCGGCCCGACCCTTCCGTCATCTTCCAACCCAGCGCGAATGGCGCTTCATGCTCAGCATCAACACCAACTTCGATGGGTGCATGAAGCTGATCAACGAGGTGATCTCCGAGCTCCCCATCTACCTCGTGGCTTAATTACCAGACGATGATTTCATATCGTACCGGACTTCCTATGTCCAATGCTTCATTTCACTTCCAATCCCTTTGTCAGAAATCCTACCGCCTATCCCTCTCGCTCGATTTCACTTCCAATCCCTTTGTCGAAATGCTCTGTTCCTCCGAAAAGCAGAGAGGCTGGAGGGTTTGATGGACCATGAGTTTCCTGAACTGAATTTGTGCCCGTGAGACTGTGTGCAGATGATCTAATTGAATCCTTGCATTTTTTTGTCCATTTCCCCACCTGGAACGTCGACGGAAGTTCCTTGGAAGAGATATCCGAGGCCGGAGAATTTCCTGAAGAAGAAATTGGATTACGTGAAGAAGAAAAGAAAAGAAACTTATTTTATTTTTCATCGTTTAAAAAGATTAACGTATGTAAAAATGAGGTGTAAATTTTAAATAATTAAAATTTATTATTATATTATTTTTAATAGCCACGTCACACATTTAACGGTCAACTGTCAGAGTTGACTGCCACATCAGTCAAAGTTAACGGAGGTTAACGGAGAGTGATGGAACTTGAACTGTTCAACTAATTCGAGTGACTATAAATGGAATAAATTAATTTGAGTGGCAAACGTGAAATTTTATAGCAATTCGAGTGACCAAACTTGCAATTAAGCCTCAAAATAAGTAATAGATAAAAGCGTTATACATGTGTTGTTTTCCCTAGAGCATCAGATTTCTATGCAACTTTAATTAAACATGTCTAATCAAGTTTTAACTTTTAACTTTAATTAAACATGTCACAATTATTCTTTATAATTAATATTAGCGTTAGGGCTGCAAATGAGCCGAGTCGAGTTTTACCCCAGCTTGAGCTCGGCTCGTTAATAAACGAGTCGAGCTCGAGCTCGAGCTAGCTTGTTTATTAAAATCGTAACTTTTATTTGGTACTTCATTTTCTATATCATGATACATATGATTTATTTTGTTAGCGAATCTCATATTATACTTTGTTGGTATCATATATCATTTAGTTAATAAATTTTAACTACTCCAAATCATGTTATGTCATAGTATCGAAGCAATCTATGATGCATAATTTCTTTTTAAAGTAGAAAATAAGATATATTTGCTCACATACTCAACGTGTTAAACTTTATATATGGTGAGATATATAATTTAACAAACATATGAATTAAAATCATGGTGGCTACTTCGGCGCACTCACTTTTTTGGGTGCACTGAGTGCA